CAATAGACAGTCTTAACATGATTGGCTAATTATAATGGAATATCGATCCATATATACATAGCAAAATATATCAGACTGTCAAACAAACACACATATTATATGGATATACATATCACCTCCCCTTTTGAGAAGATTGATGATTAATAGCGTGCTTTCTTGGGGTTTTTCTGAAACCGTTCAGTTTGTTGTCGACGTCTGTTGCTTCGTCTGCTTGTTGAGTTTGCGGCTTCTGCTTTGTCTGGAGTTGTCTGGGCTGCGCACTTTTGCTTTTCTGTTTTGTCAGTCGTAGGTAAGTTAAAAGTATCCAAGAGAATATCCAGAGGTAGGGATGACTGTGTACTGGTAGGGATATTTGGGTTTCTTGGACGCAACTGATTGTAGTGACGGGTCCATAAATCATTACCAACTTTCACGTCGTACATAACTCGACCACGTCGGGCTGTGATGGAACCTTTATTCCAAGGTTTATGTCCTGCTCGATAGTCGCGGACATAGATAGGGTCACCAACATCAAATTTTTTTCATTCCGAAATGATGCGTCGGCACGTTTGGGTGTCGGTGGTAACATTGAGTTGTGAATCGTTCTAAGTTTGCGTCCGTAAAGAATTTCTGCCGGCGATTTCTTGTTCTGTGTTGACTCATTCGCCGTTGTACGGTACACCATCAAGAATTTTTGGATGATGTCAAATGGTGTCCCCTCTCCCTCTGCTTTGAGTAAGGCTCTCTTCAAAGTGTCGACAAAACGTTCCGCTTGGCCGTTTGACTGAGGATGATACGGCGGTGTGAACATATGCTCGATAGCATTTTGACGACAGAACTGCTGAAACTGATGAGAGGTAAACTGCGAACCATTGTCTGTAACTATGGTTTCTGGGAGACCATGATGGGAGAATATGTCAGTGAGAGCTTTGAGAGTCTGGGACGTTGTCGGCGAAACCATTGGTATAACTTCTGGCCACTTAGAAAAAGCGTCTACCACCACTAAATAATATGCACCATTTGTAGGGCCAGCAAAATCAATATGAATTCTGGACCAAGGATGGGATGCTGGATGCCACGGTACGGGAGGTAGCTGGTGGGGTAGCTTTGCTGATTGTTGACATTTTGAACATCGTTGAACAAAGTCGATAATATGCTTATCCATATTAGGCCAGTATGCGTAGCTGCGAGCAATACTCTTCATCCGCTGAATACCAGGATGTCCCATGTGAAACTGTTTCAGGAGTTTATTTCGTAATGCTTCAGGTATCACTACGCGTTCTCCAAACATCAAGCAATCTTTTACAGCACATAAGGAATCACGACGGGAAAACAGGTGTTTTAGGTTTCCACTATATTTAATCTTTGGCCAATCACTGGATACATACTGTGTAGCACGTCGTAAGGTGGCATCGGTGCTTGTAGTTCGCTGGATTTCTGCAAACGTTACTGGTAGAGATCGAACAGCATTGTCGATGAGGTTAACTGCGTTGCATACAGAACTAAGTGGGACATCAGCCAGATGCAAACGATCGAACCAATCAAGTCCCAAAAGATTTAAATCACTCTTGGTGACGTAACAAATTCCTGTGAATTTGGTATTGCGGAAGGAAACAGAACATTCGAGTTCACCAATTAGTTTGAGGCACCCACCACAGGCGCTGACAGCAGTCTGAAAAGTATTTGCGATTGGTGGTCTGCCAATAGTATTCCAAAGTTTCTCTGATATAACAGTAATATCAGAGGCGGTATCTAGCTGCAGACGTGCATCATGACCATTCATCTGAAGGTCAAGATATTTCCGCATACATGGAGTTATGACTTGACAGGTTGCGAGTAGATTCAATGATCTCCTTGGAGATTTAGGACCAACCGTTTGCCGAGCTTTCGCTGGATTATGACATCTGGGTTTGCGTGGCTGACAAAAACCATTTTTATGACCGATGATTTTGCACTTGCTGCAACGATGATTTTTGTATGGGCAAGACTTTACAAAGTGCCACGCGCCACAGTGCCAGCATGGTGATGGTGAGGTCTTCTTTGCAGTATTTTGTGAAGTTGGACGAGTATGTGTAGATTTACGCGGAACATTAGTAGAAGGTGGGTCAGGACTGGATGATGAGAGATTTTTGCTCTTTCGTAATGCATGAATATCAGAGCTTCTCGAAGGTGTTGATTCGACCAGGTGTGTGTCTTTCTGCAGATTAATCAGCCGTTGATATTCATCAGCTATGTCATGTAATGTTAACTTGGGATTTTGTTCTAGCTGATTGAGCAGTCGAGTTCGGATATCTGTGAAACGAGGAGATTGAAGACTGCATATGAGGATCAAGGCTTTGAATTGATCATCTGTTAAGGACCTGAGTCGAAATCTCTCACATTCTCGGTTGACTGTGCCAACGTGAGTAAGAAAATCATCATTTTCATTCATTGCCAGCTTGAGGCAACGATAACGTATGCTGAATAATGAGGAGTGGTCTCCAAAATGTTCACGCAGCAGCTTTATTGTATCATCGAAACACTTGTCACGTGGTTTTTGGGGTAAAATTAGGTTGCAGTACCTCTCATATTCTGCGGGACCCAATTTACGTAATAACACTCGCACCTTCCAAGCATCGTCTTGTGAGGCGAGATCAACTGTGAATAAATCCTCAAATCGTTGATACCATGTGTCAAAAGTGACATTCGCATCTGGATTATAATTGAACTGTGAAATACTATTCACAATGCCGTCGACAGATGGTAGCATGGTATGATTCAGATTGCTTGAAGGTGAAGTTGGACCAGTCTGTTGGTTGACAAACATTTCCATTAATTTCATTCGTCGTTCAAATAGTAATTCCAATTTAGAAGGATCCATAGTTTTTCCCGTCGCCAATTATTATGATCTCGTCGCCAAATTATTGTTATGTACTGGTCGAGAATTTAATAGTCCTGACGCAAGAAAGACGGAAATCAGAAGACCACTAGGTTTGCGATGATACTTCTATTTTCCAAACACAAGGAGAATCAATATATCCCACAAGAGTGTGAGAGCAAAAATATATATGAATGTCCGAACAAGTGTGTGAACACAAGTGTGAGAGTGAATGTTCAAAATGAACAAATCAATAGACAGTCTTAACATGATTGGCTAATTATAATGGAATATCGATCCATATATACATAGCAAAATATATCAGACTGTCAAACAAACACACAATTTATATGGATACATGTCACCAAGAACAGACTGTCAAAGAAACACACATATTATATGGATATATATATCAATATTGTTGGTCTCAATATTTTCAGATAGAAATGTTTGCTGCATCTAGAAAACTGTACCACCCTTACGATAAATGGGAAAAAAGAAGACAACTATAAAATCAAGTTTCAAAGTTGTGTAGTTTTTAGCTAATATGATTATGAACATTATATTGTGTTTGAAACGTCATCCACTAAATAATGTTGTTTCGCTGTGTGATATATCCAATAGATAAACTAAAATGCAATTACATATTACCACAGTGACCAAGATGTACGCGTTTGGGAAGAAAAATGTTTGAATGCATAAAACATATACTTTTTCAACGGCAAATTTCCGTTAAAAAGTAAAAACAAAGTAAAATGAGTTCAATCTTCGTCCCGTTCGGCACTCTTCAGTGAAATGTACTTGTATACCAGTGAGTAGTATTGTTCCTACTGTGTTTCGAAGTACCAAGCATCATTCACTTGTTTACCGCACTTTGGATTATGTAACGATGATTTCTATGAATGAAACGCAGTGGAAACGGTATCACGCACTGAGATACAGGTGCGCCCATTTGGCAAGTTGCTAATAGGATGAAATGTGTCTTCTGAATTCTACAGTTAGTTAACAATAACCAAATAACACCATGTTAATCACTTGGCGTTATTGAAGTGTTCACACTGGAAACATTTCGCTTTTAAGTGAAAAACAAAATGTTCTTAAATGTGACTTCTTTGTTTGAGAAAAAGTTGGCTGTCATTAAATTTGCTACTAGGCTAATGCATATGCTTTATCATTTCCTAATAAATTGTAGTTTTTCACTAATATACTATATTACCATCCCATCAAAAACAGTTCAGCCATACTACTAGAGGATGTTTGGTTGCATAATTTATTTAGAATTTCAGCTTAACTAAGAATTTCTCTTGTAGGTTCAACTCTTTTAATGTCGACTTTATATCCATTAGTCAAACAGTTCGGAAGTTAACGCTTTTGTATTCATATGGGTCATAGGGATACAGTAAAAGTGATAGCTTGCACATTGGTTCAGCGTTGAACCAACGCAATGTATAGTTATACAAACTATTGTTTAGTGCTACTTCCCACTTCAATAGATTTCACAAATTTACAAAGTGTGATCTAAGTATAATTGTTGTCTTTATTATGTTATGTTGTTATTATGTTATGTGCGTCGGTGGCACAGTGGTTAGGACTCTCGTCGACCATGCACATGGTCCGGGGTTCGAGCCCGCACCGACGCACACCTGATATCTATGGTCGGCCTGCAAAATTTGGGCTATCGATATCCATGCTGAAAATTCCATACTTGTACGAAAAATACAGTGTGGAATCAAGCTGTAAATCAAAAAATCAAAAAAAAAAAATTAAATTCGATGCAATAATAAGCAATTCGTATGTCTGAGCATTATACTTCCCGAAATCTATATTCGGTATACAACTAGATATTTGAGAAAGTTTGTTTTTTGTGACATTCTTCCCTACTATATAGTGTAAACAGATGTGTTGTTGCAACCTAATCAGTTGTGAAAACGCTACACCACTATATGACCTTGTTACACAGTGGTTGTATCATCGTTATTTCATGAAATATTCAAATGTGTGTTGCAACTAAAAAGTAAACACTGTTATTTACTTCAATTCGGAATTGATCACGTTTCATCATAAAGACTTGTGAATGTGTAACACACATGGTATACACAATTATTTACCCTGGAGATGTTTCTGTTTTCCAGCCTAAATTTTTTGTCTTTTCTTTTGGTTATAGTCTTCGTATTCATCAGCTTAAACAAATGGAGATTAGAGCTCGAAGTCTTCAGAATGACCAATGTATGAGTATACAGACTAAAGAAAAAGAATTAACTGAAGCGATGAATAAAGTAAGCTTAATCTTGTTGTTTTTTTATTGGGATATCCTGTAATTGAACACGCAGAATGATGCATTGACTAAAATACAAGTCGTAATGTGCACTCTTTTATTTTTAACGTATGATAAATCATTTGCCTGATTAGTATATTGAATTTATAAACATATAAAATAAAATCAATTTTGTTTTGTAATTATACATTTACACAACTATGAACTGAAAGTTGCACACCCTTTAAATGAATTCAGATACAGTTTACAATCATTTTGTTAAGGATTCAACAGTAGTTTCATAGACTCAGTCATTTGTTTATCTTGATGTATATTATTTATTAAATTAAAAAGAATTGAATGGAGAAGAAAGAAACCCGTTAGCCTCAATATCATGTACCTGTATTTCCATGTTTTGTACATTGAAAATCATTCCCATACATCTAATGTTTAAATGGATCCAAAGTCGAAGAAAGTGAGTGAAGCAGATACCATACCCTTAACAATCAAACAATGCCGGTTTTCAAGTAATAGTCTGTAGGGATTCGATTAATTGTTTATAGGATTTCATCATGAGCTCACATCAGGTAGAGAAGCATTGGAAAACCTGGACAACTATTTCTTTCGATTTCAGCTCATGATGAAATTCTATAGCCAATCAATCAAATCTCTACAAACCAATACTTGAGAAGTTATTTTCACTAATATGCTTTCATTAAATTAAATATTACTTGTATATACGTTTACTTATTCAGATGGATTTACTATCACAAGCCTGGGCGAATGAAAGACAGGCAAAGATTACATCTGTTCAGAAATTACGCGAAAATCTAAAGTCATTATCTGGTGAACCGCTTAAGATATACATTACAGATAAAATGAATCATGTTATTTATGATGGTGGTGCACGAAATAACGGTAAGCATTCGTATGAAGGGTTCACTTTGAAGACTTAACCTTTTTTCATGCTTAATTCCAATCACCTACAGTGGTCTTGTTTGTAATTGAACTGTATGAAATAATCTTGTTTGTTAGAATGGGGTTATTAATTTGCTTCGAAATGATAAAAGGGTATGTTAATAATTTAATGTGATTCAGATTGGTACTGTTAAAATCGACCAGCCGATACTTGTACTATCTAATGTATAAAACCAAAGTGTTTAAAAGCTATCCTAGATTTCATAAATCACTTTACCAACTATTGCCGCTTGAGATGTTTTCATTTCTTCGGTGGAATGTGTCTATGAATGTTTTCTCCTACTGGCTGTAGAACAGCATAGTTCAACAACTGATAACTGGAGTAAAGCTACAAATTAACCTTTTTGTTTAAGTTATAACTAACTCTGAGGATTGCTACTTAGAAAAGGGTGTTCCTCTAAATAATATAAATACTTGTTCTTAATCTAATTTTCGATATAGATATTTTCCATACTTTTCTATCATTACGCACAAAACCCGTTATCCCTTCTCCATATGGCTTAACCACAATAATCTGCAGTATAATCCATAAACAGAAATCAAGTTTTCACACCATATACTTCATCATTATTGGTGCAAAATAAATTTATCTTTTTGAAGACCTTTATTTGAACCTATTCGACAGAATATATATTATTATTCCCTTGAGTTCTGAGTGGAACACAAGACTTCAACAACACATCTCCACTTTGTTCTGTTTTCTGACGTCCTCTTCATCTGAGTCCAAGATTTCCCACAATCTCTCCTCTCCTCCTCACACGATCCCTTCCATGTTACACACGTCAATTCCCACCGGGGTTCCACTCTAGCGATGGCCTGGCGCGCGATGTCACTCGATAGTCTTCTCAACGTGTACCCTATCAATCTCCACTTTCTCCTACATATTTGTTGAGCGATCGGCTCTCGGTTGGTTTGTTCCCATAGTTTCTTGTTGCTTATTCATTCTGGCCGGCTGGCTATTTGATCTTGAGTAGGGAGCGAAGGCAGCTGTTGACAAAAGTCTACAACAGGCTGTTGGAAATGCTTTTCGTGACACTTAGTGCAAGTGTCTGATCCGTATAAAAGGGTTGACTTGACATCGGTGTGGAAAATGAGAATCTCGTCCCTTATGCTGAGTCAGTGCAGAAGATTTCCAAACTGGTTTCAAGTTGATGAAGGCGTATCTTGCCTTTCCCATTCTGATTTTATCGCTTTGACATCTTCGTCCGTTCCGACTGCCTGTAGTTGGAACGATGCCTCCTAACGAGATAGGTGAAGGAGGCAACCTCTGTTAAATCTCTCCCGTTGATGGTGATTGGTGTTGGTTGTTGTAACTGTTGGTTGGTTATCTTCATCACCTACCACCATCTTCTTTGTGTTCACATGTAGTCCTGTCTTCTCTGCTTCTTAAACGAGTTTGTTGGTTTTCTCCTGTAAGTCTTCGAGATTATGTGACATTAGACATATATCATCTTCGAAATTCAGATCTTCTAGAGTCTTCTTATCGGTCGTTCAGCGTATTCCTGCCTCCTCTCCCCAACAGTATGACGCATAATCTATTCCACTACAACTTCAAATATCATCGGTGATAATAGCCAGGCAGCCTGGTCTTACTCCTGTATTCACTTTATTTCAGACAATACGTGAACGTATGATACAAAATCTTTCGGTGTATTCCGTTTGAAAATGCTTTTTCTTCATACAATATTTTCATGCAAAGTAATAATTTGTAGTGTATCTTCATTTCGTTGAGGAATTATGCAGCGTTTACTTGGAAGCAATGTAAATCAGTGCGCCAGTTCATGTAATGGTCACTTGATATAACTGAAAGATTGAAACAATGATACATCCCTATGAAATTAAGCATTTCCGTGGAAAGCAATTTCGGTAGCCCAGTGTTTCAAGGGGGCCACCTGTCATGCAAACAGAAGTGCTTTCAGATGAAGTAGGAATTGCTAAATGTTCTGTATATCCTTTTAGTACTCAGATTATCATTTTCAAATATATGATATGAAATATAACATTGGCTTGTGATGAAATCATTGTGCGTCGGTGGCCCATCAGTTAGGACGCTCGCCGATCCATGCATATGGTCCGGAGTTCGATCCCCCGCCGACGTACACCTGACATGAATGGTCAGCCTGCAAAATTTGAGCTACCGATATCACACGCTGAAAATTCCATACTTGTACGAAAAATACTGTGTAGAATCAAGCTATAATCAAAACAAAAAAAATAGAAAATGATATGAACAGTTTTTCAAAAACCACATGAGTGAGGAATTATTCAGTGCAACTTAACAATCTATGTAGACGTTGGTCTTTTAAACGTTAAACGAGTTTTGTAACTTGGAGTTAACCCATTTATAGCACTGAACAATTGATATACTGTTAAGAAATTGAAGCTGAAAAACAACGATTGTTTGTTTTTGTTTGAAGTATGTTAACATAAACTTCTCGCTGAGACAATTTCCACTGAATTCTACACATGGCTGTGGGTTCAAAGATCTTGAGAAGTCTTAAAATAAGACAAAACACCTATCCATAGCGTGATGATCAATCGTTTTCTAGCTAATATCAAAATACAGTGACAACTGCCTTTAGAAACAACATTAGCCAAGCTGTCTCCTGTTATCAGGAGATTTCCATTGGAAGCACGTAGTGACATTGTACCATTAAGAACATAATATTCAAGGAAGAGACTCTTTTCGCCGAATTTATTATCAAGCTGTACAATCACATATATTGTATATATATGGTGTTTTTTCAAGAAATTATAACCGGTGAGGGAATTAGGTCAAAGGTGTGAATACATGAAATGATAATTGTATGAAATGCAGTTAAAATATTTGTGATTATAATCATATTTTAATGTCAAGTGGCAAAATAATTAATGTCATATATAGAATAATACATAAGGTGTATAGATTTTGGAAAGGGGTACATAATTAAAGGATTAGTGGATGAATATAAAATGTTACATAACATAATGAGAAATTCGATCAGATAGAATTCAATATTGTAAAAATAAAAAATATAAAAATAATTTAGGGTTTAAAATGACAAGTGGGTCAAGTGGAAACAATTCAGAGTGGGAATAGTAATAATAATAATGATAATAATAATCGCAGTACATAGAACAGCAAAATAAACACAATAAACAAATGTCTATCCCTTTACGGCCAGGGCAGACGTAGGGATCGTAAACACTTCTTTTGTACACAAAGGTCTGGCTTGAATTGCCAAGGCCTCAGATGTAGAAGTATTTTATCTTATCGAATTTCCCACTATGTTATGTGACATTTTATATTCGTCCACTAATCCTTTAATTATGTACCCCTTTCCAAAATCCATACACCTTATGTATTATTCTATATATGACATTAATTATTTTGCCACTTGACATTAAAATATGATTATAATCACAAATATTTTAACTGCATTTCATACAATTATCATTTCATGTATTCACACCTTTGACCTAATTCCCTCACCGGATATAATTTCTTGAAAAAATACCATATATATACAATATATATGATTGTACAGCTTGATAATAAATTCGGCAAAAAGAGTCTCTTCCCTGAATATTGTGTTCTTAATGCTACAATGAGAATTATTACATTTTTTAAGTATTGGTTTTTTGTAGGGATTTTGTTTGATTGCATGGAGGATTTAATCATGAGCTGACATCAGTTAGGCTCAATGGTCTACGAGCTCGCCTTGTAACCAGAAGGTCCTGGGTTCGAATCCCGGTGGGTGCGTACTGATGAGGAGTCCCAAACTAGGACGAAACAGCTGTCCAGTACTCCCAGGTTTTCCAGTGGTTCTCTAACTGATGTCAGCTCATGATTAAATCCTCCATGCAATTATTACATTATCAATTACTTCTGTAATGCCTATCTGATCTGTCGGTTTCAAGTGAAGCAAAGTAATGTAAGAATTAATTATTTTATGTACTTACGTAAATCTAGATGAAGAACGTTTCTGCAATATGTGCTTTATCATCATATTAAGTTTTTCTCTTATTGAGTCAAATGATTCCGTCTTTCAGGCATACAAACATCGGATACAGAGACCCCAGTTCTGCCAAATTCATTATTTAGTGCTTTGTGCAAAGAAATCCGTCGTCTGCAATCACGTTCAGTCAGCCTAGTTGAAGCATTGGATTTATTGAGCGCAGGAAATTATAATGCAGAAAAGTTAGATCATATAAAAAGTCTTGTACTTACATCAAACGCATCAAAAAAGTAAGTCTCGAAACGTGATGATGACCTATTCACCATGCAATTTAATTAAATACCATTATTTACTTTTTCTGAATAGTTGGTGTCAGTGTTATAAAGTTGTTTCTGTCCTGAAGCTTTGAGGTGACTGGTTAAGGAGCAGCTCTTAACATGTTGGGTTCACTTAAACATTCATCATTGAGTAGTGCTTGTCAAATATAGTGTGACTCCTTAAACCTTTTTAGTTCAATGTTTATGGTAGGAAATACGGTAAACAGCTTCTAATGTTTAGAGGGTTCGCTTTCTGAATAATTACCACTGCTTTTAGAGGCTTCATCACCGTCTTATTAAGAATGCTGTGTAGAGTTCCAGGTGTCATTTTCTTAAAAAGCAACACTGTGGATACCCTTGTTTGTGTATTCATACAGATATGTGTAAAGATGAAATTTACTTTTAGGTTAAGAAATCAACCGGGAGAATAACTTATTATCTGTATGGTATGGCATTCCAAACTGATAACTAAAAAACGAACCTTTAATTTAGAGGACCTTATTGACCCGACTAGACAAAACAGTCCAACCTACAAAATACTTTGCGATGACTGTGAGATCAGTTACATAGATCATTCCAGTCACAAAATGTGAAGATTCACTTTTATTTGAAAATTGTTGATTTTCTGCAGCTTTTGTAGCTGTAGTCATTAATATGTGTGATCACAGACACAGATGTAAGGTTGTATGCCAAATGTGTATATTTTTTTTACATGGCCAAAGACAAAATATCTTGGAAACTGAAGTTTTCTAAACTCGAAGGCATTTATTGGATTAAAAAGTACTGTAAAACCTATCCCGTAGATTGTTCCATCTCCATCAAAGTTGGCAGACAGGAATTGGTTTATTCTACATTGTGAATACCTCCAGAAATCAACACAGTAGCAATACACTTTTAAAAAGTAGTTACTTTTAACTGTTTCGTTAAACGCCAGCTGAAATATATCGGTCTGTCGTTTCAATGAAACTGAATGTGCCTTCAAGTATTTCAGTTAGAACACGAGAAACCAGTTGACGCATTCTTCTGTTTGGTTTCCTGAGAGTAACGCACAATTCATAATTATACTTTGACAATATTAGAAACACATCTTAACTTGGTAGAATCTGCAGCACTGTTTGACGATAATAACTCCAACTGGAAATGCAAAATTACGTCAACAGTGTCCTCTGGCAGTTATACAGTTCAAAAGTTTCTTTGGTACAAAATAATTTACTGTGCACAACAGTGAACTGCCTAAGAATCAGTACGAATATTTCCAACAAGGTGGGATCAAAGTTCTACCTGCAAGAGCTAAGCAGAAGAAAACGCTCTTTGCACAGATAATCCAGTGTCCAATGTCAGACAGTCACTTTATGGCGTAACCTTGAATTCATTCAAACAAAGTCTCAATCGTATAACAGCACATTAATGTCAACACCTTCACACAACAGCAAAGTGAAGCATCAAAAATAGTGGTCAGCCAAAACATAGATAAGAGTGATTAAATCAAAAGAATAGATGCAAATGTAAGGACGATAATATCCAGGTCAGAAAAAAGGATAGTAATTACGCAACTGGTTGAAATATTCAAATTAGTGTCAGTAGTGTAGATTTCTTTGTTCATGGAAGAATTCTTAAGTTACTGACTCTGCTACAAATGTCAGTCAAAGTAAAAATCATCTCTTTTCTCAATTAAGTTGAAATGTTTTAATGGAGTAAATTTTCTTTAGCAAAATACCTGAGATAGTGTTGATATCTTCGACGTATACTAACGTAGCTGAGTTGTGATTGAAGGTTGAACAGAAACTCAACATTCAGTACAATTAGTACCAATGGTTTCTGCGTTATCAGTTCACCTTTCGTCACCTTTGTGACAACAAACTAGAAAACTATTGTTGTTTATTTTGAATCCTGACCCTATTTAGGTTTTCACTGCATTTCTATTCTCAAAGCTACTAATACATCAGAGGGATTAGTTCATTAAATATTTACTTATTTTTTTGCTTGACTTTTCTTTATTTTACCGATTCATCATCGTGGAGGATAAATAATACTGCGATTAGTACAAAGGCTAACAGTTACAACAGTTATGATACAAAGTTGCACAACAGTGTTCGTTCTTTTAAATTCCGTAACAATTCAAAGGTGTCAGGCATCTCTTGTTCAGTCAAAAGTTATTCAGATATGCTCCCAACCTTAATACAAAATAAACAAATATCAGTAGTTGATAATCGTTCACATAGAATAACATCATTTAGACATTCTGATCATGATCAGAAGTCTAAACATACAGCTATGCAAGAACCTACAAAGGGGAAGATTTCTGTCCCATCTTCTGTAGATGGTTTACGATTGGAAACACGAGTTTCAACTTCGGAACAGGAACAACAACAAACAGAACAACAACTATCAAATCACTTAGAATTAGATGTTTTCAAACAACAGCGAATGCTGTTACAGCAATGTCAAGAACAACAACGGCAGCTACAACAACAGCAACTACAACAATTACCTCACCACAGTTTAGCTTTATCTTTCAGTCCACGTGTACAACGTCGACCAGTTTCTTTTTATTTAAGTCGAAGTTTAGACAAATTTATCAAGCATCCAATTCCAGAAGCTGATGAAGAAGAAGGACAAGACGATGAGGAGGAGGAAGAGGAAGAAGACGAAGAAGATGTAAAGGGGGAAGAAGGATGCAAAAAAGAGAAAAAAGAACATTTTGACAGTCATACGAAGCGTATTCATGAGAAAATCGGAACAGAAAATTTAAATGAATCTAATATGGTATTAGTTGAAAGTCACTCGTAAAAAAAATATCATTTTCCAAGTTTATCCATCACATTTATATACAGACAAACGCACACCCTGCTCAGTTATTCCGTACAAAACACTTTGATATAAGATAATGAAATCTGTGTACATTATATCCACATTCCTGTTTCATATCTTATCATTGTACATTGATATTGCGTAATATATTATACAAAATATGGGAATAACTGTAAACACTGTATATGAATCAGAACAGAATGGCTGTGTATAGTAGAAACGAATGTCTTATGTGTGTATGCTCATGCATATATATATATATATATATATATATATATATATATATATATATATATGAAGTTATCCGGGTGATATCTCCGTTCTTTTCACCATACTGACATATTGAGGAGACCTATTTTTGTCTGCAACCTTCCATTTCCATTTTGTACTCTGACTAATAGATTAGATTTTCACTACATCATTATTTACTCATTCGATGTAAAATAGTTATCTGTTTAATATTTTTTTCTTTCTCTCAACATTCATTTGTTTATTTTGCATAATACTGTTTATAATGTCATTTTCATGAGAAAAGCAAACAAAATACTTAACTTGTCTATTTTCCTTTAAAAGTTATGCATCAGTAACGCGTTTATCATCACTACTAGTAGTGCTAATAATAGTAAGTATGAATTTTGTTATCGTCTTTCCAAATTTAGGGAGCATAATTTCCTTTATGTTTACTATCTCATTATATATATATATATATATGACATAATTTTGAGTTCTGTTTCTAGCCTTATATGCTTATTATTTACATTGATGAAGTTTTATTTTTTAAATTGAATATCTTTCCTTGTCTACTTCATTATTTTATAAAGTGAAATAACTTACTTCCTATTTTTTATTCTTACACGTATTATAATGTCAAATAGTTGTAAACATCATTTATACAAAATGTCACCTAATAAATATGTGAATAGATCAAAATTTATTGTTATAGTCATTTTTGCTACCGTTCAACTCTAGGATGAATGTCTTACTTATCATGTTAGTGTTCGTAGAAAATTAAAACCAAGTCGAGGATTGTCGTGTTTGATGGTGGCTAACAGTGGTATCCAATATGCGTATTTCGTCGTGTTTGCGACTCGTCAATTGGCTGTAATTGATCCCCAGTTAATGATGGTATTCTTACTGAGACTTCAGCCAAGTGGTCTGCATCTTCGTATGGGCCTTAAACTAACATTTAGAGGCCTCATGGAATGGTGTTGTGTTTTAGTTTGAGCTCCTTTTAACTCTTTCCCAACTTAATCCTATGTCAGATAATGTTGCTGGCAGTCTGCTTAAAACATGAACTACCAAAACCCTCCATCAATTTATTGCATGTAATTTCTCTTACTGAGTTTGTTTAAATCTAGTAGAATCTGACCTCCAGTAGGGTTGTTTACTCTGGCAAGTATTTAAAACATGAAGATCCTGGACGAAGAGAAGATATCATGAAATAAACTCAGCTGAAAATTCTGTACATTGCATAAACGCTATTCAGAATAAAGCCACTACTATTATTATGTAAGGTATTATTGCTGACCACATTGCACCACCTAACACAAGAGATAGAATGGTGGCACTTGTGTCTCAGACATTAAGAAGTACGACAAGTAACTCAGTCTCCAGGTAATCACTTTTCTGTTTCATATGACTGCTCCACGCAAATAATTAACCTTCACCGTTTAAGAAAGGAGAAAGTTTTTGTTTTATAAGAACTTAGTGGATTGGTTGCTCATGCATATGTGAATAAAATTTCCCATCAGTCAATTTAGTGAGTATGATCATTTCAATTCCATTCAGCTAAACATTTTTATTTCACTTCGGATGACAGTAATGTTTTATTTTTGAGTAATAATTGCATGGTGTACTTAAAAATAAAATGTAAATTAAGTAAATATATAAGGTTTCTGCTACTAAGGTATAGTAAGGAAATAAATTTAAACTCTAAGAGGATCCGAATTCTCTGTCCTTAGTGGGAGGACTCAACTCCGTGACGACTGGACCATAAGATATTAATGCCTATTAAGTTTGTCTTTTATCAAAAAAGAGTCTCCATTTGCCCTAATATAAATGAGTAGTAGATAAATATCAGTTCACCATCTTTCTAGGATAGGTTTCTTGTTTGTTTCGCAAATGATCCAAAACGAAATGTTTCTATTATATAATACTTACTTAAGTTGCTTGCTAAAGTGAGTGAAAAGCAAAGAAGTAAAAAGAAAGGGTATTTTTATAATGCTAAAATAACTGTTAAGTACTGTCACTATTCAGCATTTTTAGACCAATGACTTCAGACTGATTGCGTACAACATTCAAATATTTCAGTTTGATCCTGAATACATGCTTCAATTTTCTACCAACAGCATGCTCACTGAGTACTCCTAATCAATATCATGAGTTGTTTCCTCAACACTCTTTAGTCAGAAAACGTCATCATTAAAGGTACAAGACAAATAGAATAAAATGTGATTAAGTTTTGCCAAAACTACAACACAGCAAAATATTATGTTAGCACAGTTCTGCTAAAACATCATGTGACTGGCTAACTGAAAATCCTTTTCCTACAAAAGATCTGTCAGTCATACTAAACCTTTTGTATTTTAATAGTTTTATTAGATATTATGATTGATTGATTACAGGAATTCATCATGAGCTGACGTCGGTTACAGAACCATTGGGAAACCTGAAGGGAGTGCTCGACAACCAACGTTTTCGTCCTAGTTTGGGACTCTTCAACAGTATGCAAACACCACCAGAGTTTAAACCCATGACCTTCTGGTTTCGAGGCGGACTCGTAGACCATTAAGCCATTACGAACGGATTCAATGGCCAGTGCATGAATTCCAAATTCTACCAATTCATAACATAGTGCGACCACTAGCCAATGTCTTCCACTAGCATTTGTCCTCACATCTGACCTGCTACACCCTGCTGGTCATAGCTTCCCACTTGAACGCCAGGTAACTACCTACCTGAATAGGGTCAGTCGCTAGGACGAAACAGCTGTTCAGTACTGCCAGATATTCCAATGGTTCTCTAACCGATATCAGCTCATGACGAAAGCCTGTAACCAATCAATCAAATCCCTTAGAAAGTTGAAGTACACGTTGGTTTCAATCCACTACTTATCACTAAAGCTGTAGCGATTAAAATCCAACTTGTACATTTATAAATAAACCGTCGTCAATCCTACCCTACCTTAGTGATATTTTACCCCTTTTTTCCTTATTTTGTTATATCAGTTAATCCCTACAATGTGATTCAACACTCTTTCATTTGATTTGTCTTCATGTATACGCCTAACCTGAATGTTTGACATTCACTCAACTTATCATTATTATAATCACCTCAACTCATCAAAACGTGTATCTCTTACGTAACATGTTGTGTTTATTCTTAGTTAATGTTCATCTCCTGTCCCTGACCAATAAGCTAACCGATATTTGTAATTCTTTCAACTCTCTCTGTATTCGACTACGTCATATTAATGGTTATCTAACTAATTCGTTCAAGTATGTGAGTACTTTGCATATTGACATTGTAACTGTTTCAGGTTGTATTCGTTTAATAAAAACCTATGAAATCATATCATATTTTCCTTCCCAATCTGTTATTTTTGCCTTTTCTTCAAATTTATCAAAAAAATTATAAATTGTATGAATATAACACCTTAACTATCCGACTTTTGGGAAATCTGATGTATAGTAAGTATTTCATGCTTTTTCAGAAGACATGTTTGTTCTAAAAACTAATTAACACAGAAAAATGAAGGTGATTCTTTAATCTGAAAATCGAATGGAATCTAAACTACTGGAATATGTGAAAAAGGTTATAAAACTAAATCAGATGTCGTATAAGCCAAAAATAACTGTTAGTTCACCTGATAGAACCAGTTAATTGACAACTGCTTTGCAGCAAGCGGCATTTAAGTAGAATAACAAAGACTGTATTCTATATTAAGTAGAGATTACCTCTGGTTTTATCAAAGGTTGACGTATATAAATTAGGGTTCATGTTTTTTTTCTATTTTCATTCAAAACAGACATGTATCGTTTGTATGCAAAGATAGAATATGATGGTGCAAAACTAATTTCATCTACATATATAGAATACTTCTAGCTGGCTTTAAGAAGCTGATGGAAATTAGAACCTTAAACCATCATCCTTTTATGGTCTATACGTTCAACTGTGTCTCAAAGTGGCTTTTCTACTGAGTGATCTAAGCAAGCACCCTGTAAACCGTTGAAAGCGCTTAATTAAAGCAATTCCATTCTAGCAGGAAATAGAATACCAACTTTCACTGCACTCCTTTAATCTTATTGTGTACTAAGTAATTACGTTGACCAGGTTTTAGTTCAATTCATGAAAATTTCCCTCTGTACTGTTCTATTTGGCTTTATTCTGTTTCACTTTCCATATATTCAGTGTCTCCGATTTCCTTTATTTTCATGACATAAAAAAGAGTTGAGTTCACGCGATACGGTAAGTATTATTTATTATATAACCCTAAGTGAGAAATAAACCACAAATAAGACGTAAACGATTCAACACTACTTAATATATATATGTATTTACAAGGGAACTATGTTCAGATAGATTCTGTTCAGTGTTGCTTTAAAAAAATTGATGTTTCCATTACTGTTTTCGTGCTTTTTTATGTTTCCTTACAATTGGATAAGAAAATCGCTTAAAATATCCAGAACAGAAGTGATGTTATTCACAGTAAAAAATAGTATTAATAATGTCGTTCTATTTTCTGTTTGTTTTTTTGATGTTCAAGTAAAAATAGCGGATACTTTTTTATATATAATAATTGTATGAAATCAGTACTCTTCAGTACATGTCAGGAGGACAAAATGCTTTAACATTAAAATAGGGATACTGCATATCTAAACGTGCTAGACATCGCTTTAGAGAAATCATAGTTCGTGCAAATATTGTTACGGGTAAAACACGTATTCCTTTATAAAAAATCGGTTTACTGCCTGGTTGAGGTCTGTGCAGACAGATACTGCATTGACTTGCTCGAGCTATTGCTTCTACTCTACGGTCGTAAAATGGTCTTTGACAGGATTCTGTATCATTTATGTAGAATGTATACTCAATTCGCGATACATAATAAGACTTATCTTGGGCTACTTCATTCTCTAGTTGTTGAGTAATGGAAGAGGAACGTTTAGGTTTACAAGATGTAACGGGTGATTGAGGAGATTCTATGCGTCGCCGAGACCAGACATCTGCTGACGATGGTCTTGATGTGTAACCGGATTTGTGTGGTAGGTGGTTTTTTACAGTGTGTTCATTTGTAGATCTATTCGCTCTTGATTGGTGACTGCTTCCTTTAGGTGACTTTGTACTACAGCTTGATCTAACACCTGTATGTGATCCTTGAGAAAGAGGGGTGGTATTTCTTGTCATATTAACTTTCGGTGGTGTAGGAGGTTTATTTGATAAGTATCTATTAGTAGATGATTGTAAAGAGGGGTTTATGGGATTCATGTAAGCTATTTTATTCGTAATAACACCCGCTGAATGTTTAGGTGTAGATTCAAAAGATGTTTTGTTTTTTTCAGGTAAATTCAATTTTGTAGATAAAGGGGGAATATTGTTTGAGGTAAAAGTTTTGCTTATGTCACCGAATCCAGAACTTTGTGGAATCTTAGATTTTTCTTCTACTAAATGTGCCTGCCTAGAAAAACTTCGGTCACCACAGTATAATTCATTAGAATTCCCATCTACGAGACTAGATGAAGTTGTTTTGTGATTTTCAGTTTCATTTACAACAGGTGAACTCATTCTTGAATCGTCTGTTTTTATCTGTTGTATGGAATTACAACTTTGTTTTGTAAGAATCTTATCCATAATAGACATTTTGTGAATTGATGAATCCATTTTCGATAAAATATCACTATTATTTGAGATACCTGTATCATCCACACTTTTAAGTAGATCAGTTTTCAATGGTGATAACACTGAACTCATTCTTGGGTTCTGAATATCATTCATCCTAACATTAGATGAAAATTTCGGTTGTGAAGAATTTCTCTTTTCAATTTTAGATATATGTTTTATGGTTTCCTTGACAATTTCATCTCGTAAATTTGACTTAAAATCATTACAATTATGTTGACGATAATAATCATTATTTGTTATTCGTCTGTTTCCAGCATCACTGAAATTATATGAGTATTTCTCCTTCGCCGTTTTGATTAAATTTTGTTGTTGAGATTTTGTATGTATTCCACCCATATTACTTCGTATTTTTTATAAAACTACTTCCAATTAAATAAAATGATCGACCTTTATAACCATTACCATTTGTTCAGTGTTAAGTGAAGGCTAAATAATATTTATAAATTATGGCGCCTCAGTAAGCTATTTTCCCTTTATTGATTAATGTCGTTCAAAAGAAATCATAAAGATTAATATCCTTATCAGTCAAGGTCATTGCTAAATCAGGTCATATATAATAGAAAACTTGTGATAATTATTGCAAACAGTATTGAACTAATTTTTGATAGAAAATTAATTGTACAAAAAAGTGCATTGTTTTTGAGAGGATAAAATTACTTGGGAACTCAATTTAACATATAGTTAGTTTTACAAATACAATTTAATTCAAAGTAGGAGTTCTCCAAATTATTCAGTATTGCCAGGAAATAAAATAATGCAAATGGAATTCTCATTCATTTTGGTGTTTTGTGAAAAGAAAATTAAGTTTAGAAAAAAACCCAACATTTGATTGGACACTAATTAACTGGTATCATGTGTCCAGTCCTTTGTTTGGTGCAGACTGGATTCTATCAGTCAATGTGGCCACCATGCTAAGTGATAAGCCATCACGGTGCACTGTGAATTGAGGATATTAAGGGATTAATATTAAAGGATATCATATTAAAGGATAAATAAGAGAAAATAACTACAATGAACTTAGCCACTATTGTTTGATGGCGTGATTATAAATAACCCATATTCACTGGTTTTATCTCAAGCACATCTTGCTATGCTTTATATGCTGTTTTTCAAGGCTTTTGAATGTCATTATTCTTACGTAACCATATTGTAGGCGTACCGATAAATGCAGCTCTGATTAACTTAAGCAGCTCGGGAATGAACTTGTTACTAGAGAAAGAACCTATCGAGATAAAGTTCGTAGATGATACAATCGTTTAGGCCGAAACGCTGAGGAAACACAGTCTTTTGAACAGTTCCAACAAAAATCTGAGGATGTTTGGCAAGTACTCTGCCTCTGCCCAGTGTAAGATCATGTTACGGGGCTGTTCTGTACTAACTTTCGGTTTAGGGATAAGAGGTAAAGTGTTTGATTGTAATAGCCACTTCACTTATTAGAGAAGTTTTGTCAGATATAATGAACTAATTGCTGACAAAACCCCTTTACCAACAACAAAGTTTGTTCAGTGCTCATCAAAATGCATCACGTTTAGGGTGAACGTGATACGCTGTTACTTATTTAATTATATGTTTACTGTATAGCGATTCTCTGACTTAATTTTCGACTGCTGAAGAATGAAGAAATTATTGGTCTTTGGCCATGAATGTCTTCGTTCTTCTGTTCCCATTATGTTCATCAGAATGTTAACTAGTATTGAAAGTAGGCTTAGAGCACTTAAGTAAGGAAGATGATGAGTTTTCGATGTCTAATCAATTGAAGTGGCTACGACATATCTTGGGTGCTAATCCACTCTCTTCTTCCAGGAGCAGTTTGGCGAGAATTTGGCTTACGTTGGAAAAGAGTCAGGATGGTTTCCGATCAAGATATGATATTGGTCCAAGGAATCAATCACTGCTTATTTGGGTTATATCGGAGTTCAGGGTTACCTGGGTTTTGGAGTGCTAAACGTCAGTAGTTAGCAAATATTGGTGACATGAAAGAAAGTTGTTCATAATGTCCCAGATGTATTTACACTTTACGATTCAAATTCTGAATATTTTTATAGCTCTCCACGTCATTACTTTTTTACTCACAAACATTTTATTATCATTCTGTCTTTTCTGTATTCTTTTTTGAAGTGTAACATCTTTAAGTGGTGAACATCCATTTAAAACTCTACATCAATTTTTTAATCATTTAACCAGTCATCGCTCACAGCTTTTCCCTAATTAACCTTATTGTGATATACAATTTACTTTATTTTAACAGATGAACACAGATTTTCCACTGTATAAACATTCACTACGTACATTTTACGTTGTTTAGTATGTTTTTTAGAATCACCCAGTGAGAATCTGTAGCTAATTAGGATAAATACCTTTATTCGAACTAGCATAATAGTAGATTCAGACCTCTCTTGACTCATAAATGCCTGGCAAGTTGAACAACATGGCCAGCTCTTCTGATAAAGGTATGAGTGGTTGGCAAATGCAATGAGCTACATTAGTATAAAACTCATATGTTTGCTATTTTTCTTCTTTTTATTGTCAGACATCTAATATATAATCAATTTAAAATCTTATCTAAATTTTCATTTATTAAAGCAAAAGCAAACTAAAAGTAAAATTAAAGATTAAGAACAAAATCAAAAATATTTTTTTAACAGGGAAGGATAAGTGAAGAGGTTAAGACCAAGGTAGAATAAGAGACTGGACAAACTTTTTCTGTATACAGAGATCAGGGTTGTATTGATGTATTGCCAGCGCCTCCGCCATACACAAAAGCCGGAACCTGACGCCTTTTGTACAATTTGGTGAGCATTTGGTGAACTCAGGCCACGTAGCTCCACCAGAGTCGTCTTTCAACATCATCTACAAAGTGAAGCCAAATTGTACAAAAGGCGTCAGGTTCCGGCTTTTGTGTATGGCGGAGGCGCTGGCAATACATCAATACAACCCTGATCTCTGTATACAGAAAAAGTTTGTCCAGTCTCTTATTCTACCTTGGTCTTAACCTCTTCACTTATCCTTCCCTGTTAAAAAAATATTTTTGATTTTGTTCTTAATCTTTAATTTTACTTTTAGTTTGCTTTTGCTTTAATAATTAATTCACTATTATCAATTTCATATATTTTCACACCTTCTTCACACTTGTTAAATTGACACTCTAATAAATTTTCATTTATTGAAATAAACTTAATAATTTTTAATCAAACCAAACAAACAGTTGTTCCGAATGTCTGAGACAGTATTAATAAGGCAAGCTGATGTTAAGGTAATAGAGTAATCCTTATACGGAAAATGAATACTCAAGTGTGTAGTTAGATGTTACTCACTCACATAAAAACCTCAAAGATAATAAGAAATAGAAGTGTAAACTTTAGTATGTCTGGCGGAGACGTGATATCCGGCTATCGACTAGAGGGTGTGTGTACTGCCCAGCAGTCATTGAAAGTGGAAGACATAAAAAGGGTGGCTAGTTGTCTTTGATCAGGGGTGTCTGCATTCTATCTCCGGTGTTAAGTGGTATAATAAGGTGAGCAATATTAAGGTGAATTATCGGTCGAGAGCTAGGTAAGGAGGGGAAATCAATCGAAGAGGTTGAGGAGTTACATTGATTGAGGCGGTTAGGACATGTGTTACATATGCCTAGCCTAGTCATCGCCTTCCTCAACGGGCAATGTTAGCTGACTGGCATAAGATCAGGGTGGGAAACAGCTAGTGGTGGACAAGCCAAAACATAGCTTCCTCGGTCAATGAAATCCACAACAGTTAGTTTAAGCCACGTAAGAAGGTGTAGACTTCCTCGTTGGGGTCCTCCGGATGGCAAAGACCAATGGCTAAAGACAACTGGTGATATGGCTCAAAATCGTTCTCAACAATGCAGATGCATTCACTCTGTATGATGTTTAATATCCAATCAAATTATATTGTTCTTCCATATTCCTATTCTTTTTTCCTCATATCTCTATTTATTATCTCATTTAACTCTCTTCTCTTGCTTTTTGTGCTGCAAGGAGGGAGTGTGGCAACTCGAACTGGTGCACATCTGTGCAAAGTTCTGTGATGAAACCATTCAGTCAGTCATTACAGAATTTAAAGAGTATGTATTCGAAATTAGTGTTCTCTGTTCAAAGTGACTACTTTTTTCCCTTCACGTTCCCAGTGGAACATAGGGCTTCAAGCTAGTAGCTTGAAGTTTCTAAAGCAGTGTTTATTTTACAGGATGAGGTTGCTAGCCTCACGTCCGGCCTTTTCTCTCTACCAGCATTATTTCTGGTTCAGCGAGGTAAAGGAGTGCGTCGGCCGGGGATCGAACCCCGGACCATGAGCATGGTCGGCGAGCGTCCTAACCACTATACCACATCTCTGCTCACTGTTTCTATTATGCTTTTCTTGTACTTTCTTCTCTTGCTTCGCGTGCTACACGGAATGTGGCGACTTGAACTTCCGCACATTTGTGCAAAGTTCTATGTCGAAAACAGACAGACAGATACCACCGACGCACTTAAAATGACTACAGAAAAAATAAAACTAATTCAATACCAGGAATATATATATGTATACGATATTTAAAGAAAGCTTCTCTAAAAACACTTGGTTTCTGTAAAATGTTTTTCTTTGTAAAATAAATGGTAACCTGTGAGAGTGGATTTAGCAAGATAACATTAATTTCATCAAGTATCATTATACAATAGGCATTGAATAGAGAGGTTATAGGAGAAAGTAAGCATTAAAATTCTTCTTATCGTAAGCAATAGATTTGATTGTATTAATCTGGGAGTGATAATGAGGTATGTTTCTTCGAAATTTGTAAATGCATTTCTTTGTTCAATAAATCATTCTCAGTAGTCTTTGTGTTAGATAGAATTTTTTGAGAACTATTATCTACAAGCGTCTTGTTTTCACAAGTCGTCGAAGAATCTCTTACTTTTATATCCTTGCGCCTATCCAGCAGATCATTTGCCCAAATGATGCGATTAGAAACTTGACACGGAACAACATTTGATGAACCGTTTGTTGAAGACCTGAAAAGAGTCATATAAAGTTTTATCATTATCATGTGTAAACTATAGAACTGTTGTAATAAAGCTGATTGTCCTTCGAGAAAGGCAAACAAATGATGTATGTGTAATTAATCGTGCACCGGTGTCACAGCGGTTAGTACGCTCGCCGACCATGCTCATGGTCCGGGGTTCGATCCCCGGCCGACGCACTCCTTTACCTCGCTGAGCCAGATATAATGCTGGTAAAGAGGAAAGGTTGGGCATGAGGCTAGCAACCCCATCCTGTAAACATAAACACTGCTTTAGAAACTTCGAGCCACTAGCTTGAAGCCCTATGTTCCACTGGGAATGTGAAGAAAAAATTATTATTATGTGTAATTAATCAATCAATGTCTATAAACGATATATATAAGTAAGCACGACACACTCAAAGTCTCCTATAAGCCTATTCTGATTACACCATGAATAATTCAACCCACAACCGGGAAGCTATTAAGCACTCTCGAAATTCCTGTGTGTCATAGGTTGTTTGTATTTTCGTCTGTAATTTTTCAGTTTTTTACATGTGGATATGACTTCTGTAATCTCCCTTTCCACTCGATCGTCCAAACAATAGTTTGATATATAGATCTAATTTTTATTTGTCATTTTTACACGCCTGTTTGTATTTCTCTCACCCCACTTATTGATTTATTACTAAATTTTCTCTCACGCCAATTATGACCTTTGAAATCCCATTGTTTGTTCACTGTCTTAATTTATCCATAACATTAGTGCTTCTCGAAGTCATTTATAAAGTGTATATACGCAAGCTCTGTCAACCGTTTTCGACTGCTGTTTTGGGACAGTAAAAGCTCTCTTATCAACCTCTTATCCAGTCTTCTCTTCTGTTTTTTGCTTGCTGGTGGTGCTGTTGTTGACATGAGATTAGGACAGATTAGCCAGCGCATTAAGTTAGTATTCGCACATAGTGTACTAGGACGTAGTTACGATCATGACAATTTTGGCGGAGGGTTTGCTCAAGATGGACCCACGGCGTTCAGAGAAACTTGTGGAACAACAGCTAAAACTGATGAAAATTCTTGCTGGTCTACACATATCACGACCTGTCGATTGGTTTACAGCCAACGATAACAGAATTTGTTTATGACCCAGATGCGAACGTGATGTTTGATACCTGGTTTTGCAGGTAAAAATACTTATCTTGAGTAGACTTTGCGGACAAAGATGATGCCTGGAAAGTCCAACGTTTGCTTCGTAAACTGCAAGCAGATGACTTAGATACATATTGCAACTTAATCCTCCCAAAGAAGCCCAGTGATCGATCATTTGATGAAACTGTTCAGACCCTTCGTAATCACTTTGGTGACCACAGATCATTATTCAAAATTAAATATCATTGCATGAAACTGACTCTGAACGAAAATGATAATATCCATACTCATTTGGGCATAGTCAATCACACCTTTGAACGTTCCAAACTGAAATCGATGACAAAATATCAGTTCAAAGTTTTGATTTTTATTTGTGCTTTGTAGTCCCCCAAATTCGACGACATACGCACACGCCTATTAATTCGACTGAAACAAGATCCAGGAGTAACTTTGAAAGACGTCGGTGAAAAATATTAGTGTTTAATCAACATTCGCAAAGATACTATTCTGGTCCAGTTTGGCAACCAAAATACGGCAGAAATACATACGGTGTATCCAGTACCGTTGATATCAACTGCACCGCCTCACCATTATAAAATAATCACCGCATCGTCTGCTGCAGACTCCACTTTCAGCATGCCGGCATTATGGGGCTTGGTACTACCTAAAATCATGCCCCTACAAACAAAACAAATGTCCACGATACCATACCACTAGTCACAGAGATGGATATTGTTAGCAGATTCGCCGACCAGAATCCAGAAGCCGATTCCATCGATGATTTTGAAGAGGTTATGGAGTGTGTGCTGAAGATGTTGTCTAGAAAGACAATGAACGCTTCACAATTAAACTACCTTACCGAACACCAGCACATCAAAAGCACGTGGAGTGCTTATATTCGAGTTTGTTTCATGAAGGATTCCTAGTCAAGCAACGAACTCTCTTCACTGGACAAATAGACAAGTTACGACACTAGTTTGGCAGAGGAAAAGGTCATGAAACCTTTTATCCCCACTATGCTGCTGCGTAAAATACTGTTGAACCAGAATTGAGTGTAAGATATTGAGTTATCAGTCTAGGATGGCATATAAATTGCAGCTAGTTATGAGTGTACAGGGTTATTATACAAGAAATTTCGTATGCGAAGGGAAGAACTAGGAAAAGTGACGCCGTTTTCAACCTCCTACTTGGTGAGGACCAAACAACTTTGGCTAATGACAATTTAGCGAAGACTAAGACTCTGTCAAGTAACTTCAGTAAAGTTTTCTCTGAAAAGTGTATTACAATTCTAGAAATGTCACATATACACATTAACAAGGAAACCATCCCCAAATTGCTTCTAAATTTCAGTTATGTTAGGTTCTGTGATCCTAACCAACACCGTTCACAAACAGTATCTCCAGTGACCAAGACCATAGCTGGACTGACGTCGGTGCTGTTCAACATATCAGTAAACCAATCTGAATCTATGGAATGTTACTACCAGTAGTCCAGTATTAACAACCGGGCTTAGAAATTCGCTTAGAAACTGCTATCTCATTAATTAATTTATCCACTCTATTTCTGTCCTATAGAGGACAGAACATTAAAGTTCAGATACTACAGTCAAATCGTGTACGTCTATAAATAAACCAGTGGGATTATCTACCAAAACACCTAATATTAGCAGCTTTTGTTCATTTATTCAAAGCAAGACTGAAATTTTACTGTAATATAAATTCGAAGGATTAATTTGGGCCAAAAATTTACTATTTTTTAATCATCTTTAAACTGTAAATCCTGGTTTCACCTAATACGAAAAATAAAGTATTACTTAAGTGCCTAATCCATTATACTCTCACTAATTATTTTATTCCACAGAAATTCTTAACGTAGTTACTAGATTTAGAATTTTCTCGAAAAGAAGGTTGCATGTAAATAAGTTCTTCGTGAATTTTTATCGACCCACAGTCAAGAATGTACAAACTGCTTATGTCTTTATTTACTATTGTCACTTGCATCGACGTTTTACTTTCTGTTTTCTTACTACAGTTTTAGTTATCGCTTTGTTCAAATTCATTAAGAGAAATAAATGTATGAAATTTCTGTTAATTTCTGTGTACTTCCATTTTTTGAAATGTTACTGAATCAGTGAACTGCTATAAGAAATTCTATACTGTTTTGGCTTTACAATAACTTAAAGTCATTATATATAACCCAATAATAGCTTTTGAATTCTTAATTACTAATGAAATTACTAATCGCATATTAAACCCCTCAGAATTTATTATTCTTGAATATACTGTACTTCCATATTTGAAGAAAATGTCTCACATTACTAATAATAGGAAATGCACCTGTTGCAGAAATCAAGTTGATGCCTTTGATAAACAGGGCTGCATTATTTTTAATAAATATACTGTATATAAACTTCATGAAGTGAAAATATGCCTGTCTCGCTATTTACAATTAGTATTATTATGGTAACAGAAAATTACATTCAGTAGAAAGAGTTCATCATACGTAATATATATATATATATATATATATTACTCAGCAATAAACCATAAACTTTCTGGCCAAAGAAATCCAAGACAATAACAGATATACACTTGTACTTGCTTTATTGAAGTCTGATAATTAGTTAACAACTTATTTCCTTTGATATATCAATTGCTGAATATTTACTCCAATCACGTTATCAAATATTTAAGAAAAAAAGCATTTAACTTACTGTGTTCCTGAGAAATATCCTGGTGAAGAGTTTTCGCCATGTAAAGTATGTAGAGCCTCAAAGATTATACTGTTCGGATACTCGGTGAAAACTGTAAGAATCAGCATTAATATGACAGAAATAATAAGAGGGGAGAAGATTTCTACATATGTAAACGAGTGAATTTTATCCAGCTTACAAACTAGGAAGATAGAAAATATTAGAAATGAAAATGCGACAGAAGAATACCCAGTTATTCTAATAATAGTCTGATTACGATCTTTCTGTTCGAAATGGTTTGATCCACACAATATAGCAACTAAAAACAAACCATGTAATAACTGCACTACCAGAAATGCCATTGTTATCCAAAATGGTATTAATATTACAGCCCAACTCCAATGAATACAATTATCTAAGCGTAAACCAATCAAAATAATACAAGGTAAATTTAAAGAGAGAAATACTTCCAACTCGTAGACATTTAATCTACGAAAATCTTTAGTAACAGTCAAGAATCCTAATAGACACAATCCAAACACTGGAATTAAGACTACGCACCACGGAAAGGTATTACTCTCCAGTTTAAGACAGATGAACATTTGAAACAAAAATATATGTACTTGGTAAATACAATAAAACACAAAGAACTTGGTTAGCCTAGCGCATTTTATAATGGACAATGAAATTAAACTTGTAAACACCAAAATATTCCATATCCATAGGGGAGTGAATATAAACCAGACATTTTTTATCACAATATATCCATTAAGACTAAGAAGGCAAAGGCTAAGAAATATTAAAAAGAAAATTAAAAATATTATTCTTTGGACATTAACACTTTGAATATTCATGATAGTTTGTTGATACATTAGCGTTTTCGAAGTATAAGAGGCTTAATCAACAGCACATGTGTCTGTAAATAGGATAACAACAAAATATGCTTTGTAAGAAGTTGACTAGACAAAACACATGACGTATGAGATCTGAAAGGAAAAAAGCAAAAGAAATGGTCAGAAGTAGTTTAAAAATTAGATGTTAGCGTACTTAGCTGAAGAAGCTTTGAAAAAAATAATTAACTACATTACTTTAAGACCTATCATTAGCCATATGCAGCTCTAGAATACTATCTTTGGAAGATATTATCTGATCGCAGATGGAAGACAACTAAAATTTAAAAAAGTATTCAGTTGAACAAATAAAACGGTATGCGAAAAATCAAGGGGTCTGAAATGAATTATATTTCACAGCGTAGGAATAAAACTACACAATATGTAGAAAAGTAGCAAGTTCCCCAGTGGAAAGTGAAACAAGGTTTTAAACTTAGTTCAACAACATAGTCTAATAAATATGCTAAACGACTATTATTTACCGACGAAAACGATTTATTCTGCATTTCAGTAAACTCGACTTTCATATTCTGAAGTCACCCATTTAATACTGAAACTGAGTTCAAAGCACTGAAATCTATAATTTGTGCAGGAAGTTGTTATAGTTTCTGTTTTAATTTCTTTAGCCACCTTCAATAGAGTATCCAACCTGAGAGTTATATGAGTGAGTGTGGAAAAATATCGTTAGAAAAGTTAGTTAACGTTTGACAAAGAAGAAAATACACCAGGATTTTAACAATCAAAGGTGAATGAAGTATCTAACTTTATTCTCCTGTAATGCTCACACCCAAGTTTCCAATAGGTTGTGCGTCTGTCTTTTTATTTAGGCAGTTTCCGACACAACAGCTTACAGAATACTTACTATCTATGTAGGAAAGCAATAAACATAAATCGAAAGTGTCAACAATTTTGGAGCTTTCTCTAAATGTCAAGCCGATCTGAAAGTTTACAAACCAAGAACTAAAAGCAGATTTTCCCTTCATAAGCATATAATATAATAAAGTGCACCTAGCAATTGTCTAATTAGACTTTCATATTGTTTCTAAAGTAAGAGTTACTCAAGTAATAATTTATTTCACAAAGAGTGCCAAGATTTTTAATGGTGTTCCTTTCATTTGTCTTATTTAGTCTTCATGCCGAATGTTGCTAGTTGGCTAACAAACACTTCAAGTTCATATTATTTCTTTACTGCTAACTACAAGTCAGTAAACTTGGTCACATGTTTTCATAAAATCTGAACACAGTGAAACCTTAATATCCAAATATCTTTGTATATTAACAGCTTTTATGACCACAAGAGATTCTTGAAAGGGTACGCGCAAATTAGCATCTAGAAATCTAAATAAACTGTCACTTCAACCACTAAATTTGACCAAAAACTTGAAGTTAAAAACAAGCATTTTAGAGAAAAGGCATACATTTTTATTCAGCGAAGCTATTTTTTCCTGTTTTTACAACATACAATCTAAAGCAGACTTACAAAGTTCGTTTATTGATTTTAGAATTACCTTTTTCAGTTGCAAATCATGTCGAGAGCTAGACGTCGAATCCCATAGTTCATAAAACCCCACATATATGTCTATTGATCACATTATTTTTAAATTTAGTTATCCCTTTCGGTGCAATGTAAATTATTCTGTCACCTAAAATACTCAATATACAGTACCAGGTCCCTTATATGCAACACAGTACTATATACTCTTTGCTAACCTTCACATAACTACCCAACCAGAGTTCATACTCCACTACGAGCGTTGCTTCTTTTCTTGATAGATGAAAAATTATACACATACCTCTTGAGTAAAAGACGAATTGCTTCTAGTCGCGGCGAAAACAGAGTAGGTTGCTGCCGAAAAGTAAGAAGCAAAATAAAACTAGGAAATAAACAGTAGCCGAGTTTACCAACAAGGTCTCAACGGCTGTTAGTACCAGCCAAACTCCGAAACCCACGGACTCTAGTTACAGTTTTATCATCTGGAATTTGGAGGAATCTAAGAACACATATCCAGCTGCACAACATGCAGATGATCTGAAGGCGATCAGCTCCATTATCCGGGAAATACCTCCCGAAAAAACAACTGGAGTACACGTACGAAAGGCCATCAGGATCGGAAAACGAAACCCTGATGCTACAGGAACTCCTCGACGACTACTTAAGATAGTTTTAGGGAACGAAACAGAGAGGAGGACCATCCTCGACAACGCGTTCAAAGTCAACGACAAAAGTCTAAAAATAAGGCCTGATTGGCCTTTGGAAGATAGAATCAAAAGAAGAGAAGCCGTGGCTGAACTAAAGGCCAGGCTAGAGAAAGGCGAAAAGGACCTCAAACTATTGGGTTTTCGGGTGGTGAGGTCTCGGAAACCGATGCTGCCGAGACCTCTCTTCATAAGCCGGGTGAACACGTAGGTGTTTCGGTGTGCTATACGAACGCATGTAGTCTTAGGAATAAGCTCGCCGAATTAGGAGAGTTATCTGAAAGACTACAACCTGATGTAATTGCTATCACTGAGACGTGGTTGTTAGTGGGTGTAGACTTAACTCCACTCATACCTGGGTATATCTGCATACGAGCAGACAGAGTAAGTAGTCGGAAAGGTGGGGGGTTGCTCTATACATCCGGGATGACATAGGGATCAGGTCAACGTTGTCAGAAGCTCATGACAGCGGCACCAGTGAAGCCGCAAGTTGCATCATTAACTTAAACAAAGGCACTTTAACGATCGGAGTTATTTACAGAAGTCCTGCTAGCCAAGCTGATGACTTCGTTCTAAATCACTTGAGGGCGTGGGGTAGTAGAAATAGGTGTCTGATTGTTGGCGACTTTAACGCTCCACATATTAATTGGGGGGAATTAAACTCCACTAGTTTGTATACCTGTTTCAATAGGGAGCTCACATTGACAGTGCTTGAATGTGCACTCGTGCAACATATGCATGCACCAACACGGTATCACCCTGAACATGATCCATCTACTCTAGACTTGGTATTGACACACCAGAAGGAGGACGTTGGTAACATTAGGTGCCTTCCGCCGCTTGGCAGCAGTGACCACATAGTCATTGCTTTTACGTTTAGGATTCATTCTCTCATGCACAGGCCAAAATCTGCTCGTCCAAACATTTGGAAAGCGGATATACAAGGAATCCGGAACGCAGCAACTGTGGTTGACTGGTCAGTTGATACAAGTCGGACTGTCGAGGAAGCTTGGGTAGGATTTAGGAATACACTAGATCGTGTCACTTCACCTTTTATACCTTGGTACACTCCTCGAAAGCCGTCGCATGAACCTCCTTGGATCACTAGTGAAATAAGGAGGTTATTAAGACGGCGAAAGAACTTATGGGACCAATTTGTTATGACAGGAAGGGAAAACTTCCAGAAAGACTACCGCAAAACTCGAAACCTCTGTAAGTATGCGATTAACAAGAGTCGTATAGAGTACGAGAGACGATTAGTACTAGATTGCGTTCATTACCCAAAAAGGTTTTACTCGTATATTAAACGTAGGACTAAAACTAGCAGTGGTATACCGTCACTCATAACCATTAGTGGAGAAGCGGCTGAGTCAGACGAAGGAAGGCTGAAAACCTCTCTGAATACTTCTGTGACGTCTTCTCGTCTGATAGTACCACCCAGGGATATGGCGAGGTCACTGCCATCGCCACTCAGATGCCCTCAATTGTGGTAGAGCACACAAAGGTTCAAACTACTGTCTAAACTGAAGCCAGGTAAATCACCTGGGCCGGATGGACTTCACCCTAAGCTGTTAATTTCCTTGGCGGATATAATATATATTCCGCTTACGGAGATTTTCCAAATGTCTCTGACGCAGGCTAAGCTACCCAGGGACTGGAAGGATGCCATTATAAGCCCTATCTTCAAGGACGGGGATAGGCAATTGGTATCTAACTACAGGCCGGTAAGTCTGACATGCATTATTGCAAAGGTATTGGAAACTATTATAAGGGATCAACTATTAGCTTATGTTGAAACACATGGCTTGTTGGCTGTGGAACAGCATGGATTCCGACCAGGACGATCCTGCTTGACAAACCTACTATTGGCTAGGGAAGACTGGGTTGAGGCCAGAGATAGGAACCATCTGTTGGACGTGGTTTTTATTGATCTTAGCAAGGCGTTCGACAAAGTAAACTTAAAGGTTTCGGACTAGACCAATGCCTATGTGAGTGGTTTAGAGATTACTTAATGGATAGAAGGCAGAAGGTTAGAGTTAACGGTGTACTATCAGGATGGAAAGCAGTATCCAGTGGAGTGCCCCAGGGAACTGTATTAGGTCCATTGCTATTCCTATTATACGTTAACGAATTACCAGGGATTCTTTCTTCATCTTCATTATTATTTGCAGATGACATTAAGATATGGAAAACTGTAAACAATAACGAGGATAGGTTGGCCCTACAAACTGATTTAGATAAATTAGCTGAGTGGTCAAGCCTATGGAGTTTGGAAATGAATGCTAGGAAAAGCGCGGTAATGCACTTAGGTCAGAAGTCTTATACGTCGTACTCCCTAGGGGATGCAGAACTACCTGATGTTAACGAACAGAAGGACCTAGGAATCATTGTCAGCAATGATTTGAAAACAACTGCAAATTGCAATGCAGCCGCAGCTAAAGCTTTTCGAATGCTATGGGCAATTCGAAGGGCTTTCAAACGATTAGACGAGGGCATGTTCCAAATACTCTACGCAACATATGTCAGGCCTCATCTAGAATACTGCATACAAGCGACGAGTCCATGCTTCAAAAAGGAGGCACATATTCTGGAAAGAGTACAGAGAGTAGGAACAAAATTAGTTAGTGGTATCTCACACCTTCCTTATGATAAGAGGATGGAGCATTTAAATCTCTTCCCGTTATCATACCGAAGGAAGAGAGGCGACTTAATTTTAGCATACCGTATACTTAAGGGTGATTTAGGAACTGACCTTTCTAACCTTTTCTCCCCTTCTAGGATACATTTACGGGGTCACCGCAAAAAGGTGCTCAAACCAAGGACGATTAAAATACGTGCAGAATTTAGATTCTCTCACAGAGTGGTCAACGATTGGAACTCCTTACCTGATTCAGTAGTATCAGCTCCATCGGTGAACGCTTTCAAAGAGAAGTTAGATCTCTGCAGAGATATACTTTGCAAGGATTAACACAGGCCACAAGAGCCTTCTATCCTTATCATCTAAATATGAATCTAAAAGCCAACATATACACTATTTTGATATGACAAGATGAACTAAGGCGTAAATACAACCATACAGAACCCTCCCCGAGTTCCTGCTGATTGAGCCACAAAAATGACAGAAAACAGATACAGACCTTTAAATTTATGGACGATACTATTAGACGAAACTGAATAAAAATACATTTTACACTAAGTTACTGATGTAACAGTTTATTCTGACTGGTTTTAGAAAATCAAAAAACGGCTGCTAAAATCACCATGAACACTAAACAGAATAAATCTTAGCCGCAGAAACTCAGCTGTCAGTGAGTTAATGTATTAATCCCCCTTTTAGCTGTTTCCTATGAGATTTAGTTGCTTATAACAAAAATAAAGCAATGACAGGTTATTGTCCACAGCATTTCTTAAGCATGTTCAAGAATCTAAAGCATGCTAAGTATATGCTTCAATGTTAGTTAAGGTATCTCAATCCTTAAGCGAAATACAAAACAAAAGATTACGAAAGGGGTGAAATGTTCTGAAGATAACACCAAGACATAGAAGAATGAATCATCAGTAGGCCTGATACATACAGCAGTCTGAAATCTCTGACCAAAACCTCTTTCACTTTTACTGAAATTAAACACAGCATAACTAAGGAAATGAAAAAGTAAACTTGTATTAGAATACACAAAACAATTTGCGGAAGATAAAATAAGTAAGTGCGCTCTCTATTTAGAGTTCTGCATCAAGTACAGCACTACCATGTCGAACCATTGGTAGTATCATAAACAGCGTGAAACAACTAAGACATAATGTCTCCAGGATCTTTACCAAGTCTTCGATATAGTATTACACGCTTGAAGCCAGCTTCTAATCACCAAAGTCAGTTGTTTCTAGGATTGCATGCGTAAGTCATTTTAAATAATGTAAAGTTCCACGCACTTGCTTAAATCATTGAGCAACTATTCGTGAACAGTTAAGCCATGTGTCTTTAAGATATTGCAAGCGCTATCGGCAGAAATTAGTTTAAAAAATTACATGGGTAAAGATCTTGTATAACAATAATTTAGGTGCTCAGCACCTTGTATCACTAAGTAATCTATGCTTATAACTTCTCAACAATACTCTTCGGTCGATGATTTTATATGAGGTTGATGAAACGTCAAAATATTTAACACAATAACTGTTTGAACCGAATATTTGTCCTAAACTGACTGTTATTCAACTTATAAGAAAACTGATGTGAAGTAGTAGTTTAACTGAAAAACTAATTTTACTTCATCGATCACTAGTTCCTCACTGAAATATAAATAATCATGCCCTAAATCTTATGGATTTTGAAAAAATGAACAAACAGAGAAATCTGCACCCGGTATAGGTTAATAACATTACGGAGTAAATCAGAAGAATTCTTCTGATTAATTCAGCGTAATAAACTGACCACAGGGTGTGAATTCCTGGTATTCCGTTCAAAAGGCACAGAGATTATGACCTGAAAACAATTTTACCGACAACACATCAATAAGTAACTTAGAGAAGAAATGACACCCAACTACAAAGTGAAACTCGCTTTTACTAACCAGAAATTAAGAGCATTTAAAAGTATAAAGCAAAATCAAGACTCAATTTCTTAAAAGTAACCTTGTAATATTTGATAGAATGGATAGTGAATCTATACAGAGCTTCAAAATCTATTTGGCCGATAAATGGGAAAACATAAAGCTTGCCATTAAAACCATTATTTATTACTATCATCATGTTAAGGTACTCGATGGAATTCGAGTAAGGATTAGTAAATAACCAATATGATGGAACGAAGTCACTCTATCATGCAATTGATTAATCTGCTCCACATCCCCAAATTTCACTAAACAAACTACAATGTTCCTTAAAGAGAATGCATACTTCAACCATACTACCATATATATATATATAAAATATTTATCCCATTATTATTATTATTAAGAGAAATGATGTCTTGAAGAACAATTCAGATGAAATATTTACCCTTCGAGGTCTTTTCATATAATCACAAAGAATATACACCATATCTAAAAAGCTACCATTCAAGCGGATGCCGAATACAACATGAACTTCATTAAGATTGTTGATAAAGTTAAACAACTTCAGTATCTATTTTAGAAGCTAGTGCGAACCAGTTTGATTTCTTTGGGCTCGCTTCTTGGTTATGAAGTTAAGGTTGCTGGTCTTCTGTAAACTTCTGCGTATTTCGAGCCGCCATTCAACTGTCGTAACTTTGGTCGACTACAAATGTAGTGGTGCTGGGACTAACTATATGTAGTTTGTAGAGTTTGGTGTGTTAAGACAGCGATGCTACCGTGACTATGTTTTATACCTTCAGTAGTTTGTTTCTGAAGGTCTTCGAGGGACATCGTGAGGTCCAGAGTATTAACATCTGGTAACTCACGATTTCTGGGATTTGACTGGCACCCATCTAAGTTTTTATTTCCGGCAGGCTGATCTTATTTTAAATGGAATATTCAAGCCTGGAAATAACTTCAAAAGTTAAGTACCAGCTTAGTTGGAGTTAACTATCTGTTATGTTTTTCAACGCATCGAGACTGAATGAAGGACACAAAGTTAGAAATAGATTATTGCGATTATTGCTTGACTAGGCCCACGACAGCTTCACGTTTCCCTAGCCCACTCTACGCCAACAAGAACACAAAGATGTGAGATTGTATGATTCAAAATATTTTCGAGGACTTGTAAATTAGTCTGTTATCATGATCATTAAAATTTTGGGCGTTATTCTACGTGGGCCAAATTCCGATTGGTATGATCTCAGACTGGACATTGGGGTGGAAAAGCCCAAATCTCTCCCCGTCGGCATATTCTAAGGGGAGTGTTGACTTAATTTTACCCTATTATATATCAAAACGGTGTTCTGGGCAGTGACAATTCTAACCTTTTCCGTCCTTTAGATTGCCTTTGATAGGAGATATTTGGCTGAAAATAGGCGCCGGATTAGCTCATATACGGTGAGATTTTTCAGAAACCACCTTGATTTCCATAGGAGTATATATTGCGAAGATTAACATAGACTACAATAGCTTACTATCCTTTTTCACAGAATCTGAATCCACAAACACCTTTCAATTCATATGATTAAATTGATCTGCATTGGCAAATTACAGATTCACAGAAAAATTAAATTAGCCGTCAGAAAGGTACAAAAAAGAAGTAACCACTTCATAGATACTTATTCATAAGTTTGTCTGCTCTTAATTTTTGTCTTTTAGCCAGCATAACCAACATTAATTATTTCTGTTATTATTATCTCTTTTCCTTTTTTGACGGCACTGGATGACTAACTACTGAAGGTATCAAACATACTCACGGTAGCATCGCTGTCTTAACACACCAAACTCTACAAACTACATATAGTTAGTCCCAGCACCACTACATTTGTAGTCGACCAAAGTTACGACAGTTGAATGGCGGCTCGAAATACGCAGAAGTTTACAGAAGACCAGCAACCTTAACTTCATAACCAAGAAGCGAGCCCAAAGAAATCAAACTGGTTCGCACTAGCTTCTAAAATAGATACTGAAGTTGTTTAACTTTATCAACAATCTTAATGAAGTTCATGTTGTATTCGGCATCCGCTTGAATGGTAGCTTTTTAGATATGGTGTATATTCTTTGTGATTATATGAAAAGACCTCGAAGGGTAAATATTTCATCTGAATTGTTCTTCAAGACATCATTTCTCTTAATAATAATAATAATGGGATAAATATTTTATATATATATATATATGGTAGTATGGTTGAAGTATGCATTCTCTTTAAGGAACATTGTAGTTTGTTTAGTGAAATTTGGGGATGTGGAGCAGATTAATCAATTGCATGATAGAGTGACTTCGTTCCATCATATTGGTTATTTACTAATCCTTACTCGAATTCCATCGAGTACCTTAACATGATGATAGTAATAAATAATGGTTTTAATGGCAAGCTTTATGTTTTCCCATTTATCGGCCAAATAGATTTTGAAGCTCTGTATAGATTCACTATCCATTCTATCAAATATTACAAGGTTACTTTTAAGAAATTGAGTCTTGATTTTGCTTTATACTTTTAAATGCTCTTAATTTCTGGTTAGTAAAAGCGAGTTTCACTTTGTAGTTGGGTGTCATTTCTTCTCTAAGTTACTTATTGATGTGTTGTCGGTAAAATTGTTTTCAGGTCATAATCTCTGTGCCTTTTGAACGGAATACCAGGAATTCACACCCTGTGGTCAGTTTATTACGCTGAATTAATCAGAAGAATTCTTCTGATTTACTCCGTAATGTTATTAACCTATACCGGGTGCAGATTTCTCTGTTTGTTCATTTTTTCAAAATCCATAAGATTTAGGGCATGATTATTTATATTTCAGTGAGGAACTAGTGATCGATGAAGTAAAATTAGTTTTTCAGTTAAACTACTACTTCACATCAGTTTTCTTATAAGTTGAATAACAGTCAGTTTAGGACAAATATTCGGTTCAAACAGTTATTGTGTTAAATATTTTGACGTTTCATCAACCTCATATAAAATCATCGACCGAAGAGTATTGTTGAGAAGTTATAAGCATAGATTACTTAGTGATACAAGGTGCTGAGCACCTAAATTATTGTTATACAAGATCTTTACCCATGTAATTTTTTAAACTAATTTCTGCCGATAGCGCTTGCAATATCTTAAAGACACATGGCTTAACTGTTCACGAATAGTTGCTCAATGATTTAAGCAAGTGCGTGGAACTTTACATTATTTAAAATGACTTACGCATGCAATCCTAGAAACAACTGACTTTGGTGATTAGAAGCTGGCTTCAAGCGTGTAATACTATATCGAAGACTTGGTAAAGATCCTGGAGACATTATGTCTTAGTTGTTTCACGCTGTTTATGATACTACCAATGGTTCGACATGGTAGTGCTGTACTTGATGCAGAACTCTAAATAGAGAGCGCACTTTCTTATTTTATCTATTCAGCATTTCGATATAATGCAACCGCAGCATCTAATTTATTTCTACCATGTTCCAAGCAAATTTTTTGGATCAATTGTGGTTTTCCTTGTAGTTTCAAGACGAAGTTAATGTAATTTTTCCATCATTTAGGCCTAATTTTTATATCAGTACCAGAGGATGGTTTTGGTATGGGGATAATTTTATTGTTTTTCCTCGCAAATTTTAGAACTTTACAGGATAAGGAAGCATTAAAATATTAGTAGGAGGGCAATACACAATATTTAATTTTTTTTACACCTGACTTATCATTTGTTTTGAACAACAGTTCTTTATCTTTACGTATCTTTTCGAGATATGGTGAAGTGAAACGTTCAAATCAATTGTGTAAAGTTTTTTTAGGACAACATATTTCGAAAGAGATTTTAAGATAATCAGTGGTGTTTGTGATTGTGTCATCTAATGTTTGTTCTGTAAATAAGTCCCACTTAGTGTCTTTCAACATGCATCTGAGCTTGTCTAGGTTGTCTTGTGAGTAGCATCTCCGTTGAACTTTACTGTAGAGGTGAAAGAAAACACGTTTGTTTGATCTGGAATATATTTTAGGCAGTACACGCATGATGCAGTGGTCACAGTTAAGTAAATGTGCACATTTGCGAGCTGCATATATACCAACATCATTGATAAATACCAGATCCAGTGTTTTACCAAGACGGGTAGCAAAGTTAACAATATTGTCATGACCAAGTGATATAAGAAAGGAGTGATTGCATGGAATAAAATCACCAGTTACTATTGATAAGGAGTTCTCGAAGCAAGCTGCAGCAAGAGCGGTGAATTCATCAGCGAACATAGATAAATCCGATACGGTACAGCCAGGAGAGACATAAGCATTAGAAATATAAATGAATTTGTATTTTGACAAGTGTTTCGGGTGACATCTCACAGTGATGTAATCAATGCAGTCATTCGAGAATTTGAAACAAAATTTGTTATATATGGACCATTTTGAGTGAATAAAAGCTGCAACACCTTCGTCACATTTTCTCCTGGAACAAACACGGTCTTGTCGGAATACATTAAAATCATTGAGAGACACTATATTGTCATCATATGTGTCATGGAGCCAGGTTTTTTGTAGAATGGTGAATTCCAGACGACAGCAGGAACTGAAAATCCAGAATTTTATTAGGCAGGGACCGGCAGTTGGTACTAATGATAACTGGAACAGTGATGTGATGTATGGGTGTATATTTTAAAGCACGTTGCCAACCACCATGGTGGTTTTCCTTGAGTTTATTGCAAATATGAAAGCTTTTGGGTTTAAATGGTTTTATAAAATCCCGGGAGTGAATAATACGATAAGAATGCATAATTTGATATGTAAACACCAATAAAATATGAGTAAATAGATGCAAAATGTACATGGAATATGGTAGCCCAAAATGTTCAAACAGGCCACCAAGGTCATTCCATACAATATCTGTATCACTGGCAAATAATTGTAAAGATGGGTTTAAATATGAAGGTATTTCGTCCAAATATATTGGGAATACCAACTGTGCTAAAATAATGTCCTACGGTACCTTCTCAAAACGAGTTTCCACCACTGTAACGTGACATCCTAGCTCACTCTTTTTCTCCTACTCAGCAGACAATTCACAGCCCAGGACTTAAGTCTATTTAGACCAAACACCTCATTCAGCACTGTTACTGAGCATGAGTTAGCGTTTAAAACCCTTCAACATTTACCGGTACCTTGAGCAGAACAAGGTCTTGCAGGTCAGCGACTTCATATTAGCTGTCTATTTCCTTCTTTGAGTTTAGGCTTATAACTGAATCTTTTCAGCCAATAGGTAGCCTCGTCTGAAAAAGACCTAGTGTCAATGGAGTTGAAGATTGAACGATCAATTCTTGGTTGTTTGCTCAAAATCAACTCCCTCGATTTTCGCGGAGGCATCAATACGACAGTCATCGTCTCATCGGTCGCTGTTCAGAAGGAAGAGTGAAACATCGTCAGAAGTAATACAATGATTTATTATTGTAATATTTGTTTACAGACCTTAGTTGCTTAGTTCGTTTATTCCTTTTATATGTTGGTGTAACAATAA